GCCCTGCCGTCCCAGGCCTTTGCCCAGTGACCTTCAATCCCGCGCGCACCTCGTCCTAGCAGCTTCCATCAAGTCAAAGTACCTTTGCCATTATTGCTTTAGTTTCCTCGGCCCGGGCGGCGCCGCGCCCCCCTCTCCGGCACAACGCCAGGAGGGGGTGAAAACGAAATCATTCCGCTCGGGACAAAAGTGTTAGTGCTTTTGTCCTGACGGCATTGCGGCCCGCAAGCACCCTGATTCTTGCAATAATTATAATTATTCGCTGGACTTCGCGCCACGCAGCCGGCAGCAAGTCGAGTATGCTGCTACCTTGTGCACGTGTGCGTCGGCTCCACTCCGACTGCGGCGACAAACCTCAGTGTGCAGAACCTGCGACGGGGACCAGTCGGGACATAAATAAACTATTATTGACTTTGCCAGTCCAATTTGTATACCAGCGTGCGGTGGGTTTGGATAGGGCGTGGGGCGGGGCGGGGCGGGGTGGGGCATTGGCGCGCGGCACTCGGTGCGGTCCGGGGCGCCGCCCAGCGGCAGCAGCAGCAGCGGTCAGGTGCAGAGGGTCAAACGACCAAATTACGGGCTTGTTAACATTTGGTCCAGCGGAGGCTGCGCCGGCGGCCGCCGACTTTGATGAGATCTCGCAGCCGGTCCCTCCGCTCCGCCCCGGACTTATCGTACCGCTCCGGCCGAGGCTCGGGCCCCACTGTCCTGCACAATCGCCGCTGACGTCGCCGTCGTCGTCGTCCAGTTTTACTCGTTTCTGCTCCTTAAATCACGCAAACTTACCTGCCAGACCTGAGCAAGTCGTCAGCGGCGGATGACAGGCGGTCGCGACGGTCTTACGTCGCTTACCGGTGAGTCCCAGAGGCGGCCCGGTCATGAGAAATGTGTGTTCTGGGTCAGCGCGAGGCGGCCCGACGTGCCGTCGTGTGTCCGCACCTGAAGGTCAGTTCATGTCACTTTCAGCAACGGATAGTTTGGCAAGCAGCGCTGCCTGACCGACCTGTGTAAAAGAAGGATATCGTCGAAAATTCATTAAAAAAAATTCTTAAAATCATTCAATCAGAAACTCCATTAAAATTTCTTAAAATCATTCAAGCAGAAACTTCTTAAAAAATTCTTAACATCATTCAAGCAGAGGGGATTCCACATTCGTAAACTGGGGTACACTGATCAAGGGAACTGCATTCAAGTACCGAATGACAGGCCTGCATAAAGAAGAAAACAGTATACTGAGTCAATTTTCTCAAAACTGCTCGGGAGTGCAATTTACTTGTTCCGAGACTTTTCTCTTAGAAAGGGATGTGATGTGCGATGCGCACTCCGTTTGGTCAGCTGCCGGGAAGACTTTGCAGACCGTACGAAACTCAACCCACTCCTTTTTTTTCGCTTCACCGGAAGCGGAAGCATCTCTCTCCCAAAAAACGAGCAGGGGGTATTCTTTTGCGGCCGACGGCCAGTGCGGCGGTCTTGCGCCTTGTGCAACTTGTGTGCTCAGCCACGTTTTAAGAGGCGTGGTTAATTTATTGACGGGTCTCTTCGCACGGGGAGCCGGCGCTCTACAATATTCACCGTTGCCCTGCCCCTTGATGAACAGCCCGCTCTCTCTTTACTTCCACCCTCTCCATCTCTCTCTCACTCACTGACGGACAGGTGCGTGCGCCAACCTGGGTGCGGTGGACGCCAGAAGGGTGTGTAGTTTGAGGGAAGTTTGCCTGCGGGCGAAATGCACTCGAACAAGAACCCCACGCGCCTCGGTAGCTAAACTGTGCGATAGCAAAACATACATTTGAACTGGGGGAAAATGAGTTGAATCATTTTTGTTAATAATTTGCAGGTTGATTGTCTTTGTAATTTTTAATTAGTCCAACGTGCACTCGAAAACCGAATCTTTCTGGGAACAAAATCATGACCTTGCCGTAACTAACAAGAATTTCTCTGCAACAAAGACATTTTTGGTTTTCTGACAAAATTTGTTAAATATGACAAGTTTTTTTTTTTCAAATAAAGTTTATTGTCCTCCGAACGAAAAAAATGATTGGTTTCTGTCACAAAATTTCCTTATCTGTTAGCTTTAAAGGGAATTTCATTTTCCCAAAGGCCCTGGGTGTGCATGTGCAAAAGGGTAAAGTGGGGCTAATATTCTTCTCCCTTCTTTCAATTATCTTGCAGAGTCGCCGCTAGTGGTCCGCGATCGCTCACTATCCTTCATCCACCTCTTGCGCCCCTGGACGAGCGGGTGGCCGAAGTGACGGAATACACGTGTAAGACAACTGCGTCCAGCCCGGGAGGTGCCGAGAGACAAAAGAGGTAAGCCACGCGCCGTTTGTCTTGTCGGGGACACGCGCCGGGCCCATGGGCCGGGGGCCGGAGGCCATGGGGCCTCGCGGGCCATCGGGTTGGGAAACTTATGGACTACTGGCGTGGTCCCTATGGCCAGCCGCCGGGCCGCAGGCAGCAGGGGACACACACTGCGGCATTCCGGGATATTTGTGGATGGGCGTTCCATCGCCTTAATTTTTTTTATTTTCTTTTTATTTCGAGGAAAAAGACTAGGGGGAAACGAGACTTTTGAATTTATAAAAACAAAACAAAAATTAAAATAAATGTGACGTTGAGCCCGGTGGTGGTCGTAAAGCGTAATCAGTTAAACATCTCGGGCGGTGTTTGGTGTGCGATACACGCGTGCGCTGCGTGGAGGTGGAGCGGTCCGTGCCGTTACTGCTAATGCAATAACCCCGATTATTGCCATTATCGCCCCTAAAAGTAAAGCAGCGGCTGTCGTGTACACTTCTCATTCTGGTGTGTAGCCGTACGTGCGCCGGGCTCTGCGGAATTGAAGGCCGTGTAAACGATCCAGTGGACGGCGATCGCCTTACCGGCGGCCGGGGCGCAGGCGTTCGGCGGGCGTGACGGTCCCGGCGTGACGGCCAGCGTGACGGCCCCGCGGTGGCGGCGGCGACGGTGGTTTGGCTTGGTGCCCGCCACCGCCACGGCGATAATCATCGTCACGAACGATATCGAAAACGGTATCGAAACGTTTCATTCCCGCGCCGTTTTCTGTATCATTCCCGCCTCGTCCAGCGCTACGTGTTTACGACCCCGCCGGGTGTATCGACAACTCGGCGGTGTAAAGTAACGTACCTGGTGGGCGCTGTCAAGGCCCGCCCCGCCCCGC